CCTTTTAGTGGTTGAGTTTGAAACCCCTGTTCTATATACAACCATTTCTTTACTAAGGAATCCTTGTAGAACCATCTTTTTTAAGAGTGTAGACCTTCTGCTACCAGCATAGCATGTGACATACCATCAAACATTACAGCATCTGTCATAACAAATACCGGTAGTGGTGATATGACTGTTATATTACTGACCCAAATCTAACATGACAGCTCGTGACAACACGACACCTGCTATTACAGCACGGCTATGTCAGTGTCGTAGCATTTTATGTTTTTTTTCACAGAATCACCCCCCGTCTGCAGAATTCAGCTGTTTTGTGCTGAACAGTCAAGGAACTCTGGATGTTTCCAACCTTATTTTGTTCTCTACTGCACAGCTGACACTAAGACAGTGTGGATTACAGAAGGGCGATTTGCATACAACTGGCCTGTAAGGGAGGGTGGCTAGAAAGAAACCATTACTAAAGAAAAAACACATCAAAGCACGTCTGGAATTTGCCCTAAAGCATTAAAGTGACCCAACTAAAATGTGCGATAAGGTTTTGTGGTGATATTAAACCAAAATGGACCTTTTTGGCCAAAATTCATAATACTATGTGTGGCACAAACCTAACACTATCCATTCCTCAACAAACACAATCCTGGCAGTGAAGCATGGCGGTGGCAGCGTCATGTTGTGGGGGGTGCTTTTTCTCAGCTGGGCTAAGCATCTTATTAAAACTGATGGATGGATGGTGTAAAAAGGAGATACTGCAAGGCAACTTGCTTCAGTCTGCTGAAAAACTACAGCTTGGAGGAAACTTTCAGAAGAGCAGTGATCCCGAGCACGAGGCCAAAGCAATGCACAAGTGGTTGAACAACAAAATGTTCAAGGTTAAATCCACATTTCAATCCAATCTGAAGTCGGTGGCACTGTTTGAAAATTGCGATCCACAAGCGTCACCCAACCAACCTGAACAACCTGGAGCTAATCTGCCAGGAAGAATGGGGAGAAATCTCTCCCAAACACTGTGCAGAGCTGGGAAACTTAGGCCGATGTCACTTTCATACTCTCTGAAAGCTGAGCGGTGAGCCACAAAGCTGGAAGTCCATCAGCATTCCTGTGGCCTTTGTAGTTTACATCACGCCTCACACAGTTTCATAACAGAGTAATAAACAGCTATCAAGCCATGTTTGTTTAAATAGTTCAGCTGTGGTCAAACACATCCTTACTGAAGACACACACTTCACTGTTTGACCCTCAGAACAGTGCTTTTCTGTAAGCAGCCACTGGAACTGAAATATGAATGTTTGTATATGGATTCTGCATTACAGACAGGAGAAGGAGAATGAGGAGAGGAAGAAGAAGAAGTAGAAGAAAGAGGAGGAGGAAGAGAGGAAGGAGACGAAGAAAACAGAGGAGGAGAAGGAGGAAAAGAAGGAGAAGAAGAGGGAAAAGAAGAAAAAGAGGAAGGTGAGTAGAAGAAGAAGTAGAAGAAGAGTAAAACAAAGAAGAAGAAGAAGGAGGAGGATGAAAGAAGAAGAGCGAAAAAGAGGAGTGGGAGGAGAAGGAGAAGAGGAAAAAGAAGAAGAAGAAAAAGAGGAGTGGGAGGAGGAGGAGAAAAAGAAGAAGAAGGAGAAGGAGACGAAAAAGGACTGGCAGGAGAAGGAGAAGAAGAAGAGGAAAAAAAAGAGGAGTGGGAGGAGGAGGAGGAGGAGAAGAAAAAGAAGAAGAAGAAGAAGAAGAAGAAGAAGAAGAGGAGTGGGAGGAGAAAAGAAAAGAATGAAAAAGGAGAAGAGGAGTGGGAGGAGGAGGAGAAGAAAAAGAGAAAAAAGAGGAGAGGAGAGTAAAGGGTAAAGGGGCAGGAGGAGAAGAAGAATAAGAAGAAGAAAAAGAGGGAAGGAAAACAAAAGAAGAAGAAGAAGAAAAAGAAAAAGAGCAAGGTGATGAGTTGGTGATGAATTGGTGATGAGTTGGTGATGAGTTGGTGATGAGTTGGTGATGAATTGGTGATGAATTGGTGATGAGTTGGTGATGAGTTGGTGATGAATTGGTGATGAGTTGGTGATGAGTTGGTGATGAGTTGGTGGATGTGGTGAATGTCATCAGTATCTTAAGAACACTGACCAACTGCGTGTCCAGATCAGGTAGAGGCTGCATTAAAGGGTGATTCCACCAATTTTTCTAAACTACTGCATAAGTAAATCATTCAAATGTAAACAAAGCCAAACGCTCCATTATATCACACTAACGTATCAGGTCAGAACTGCTCCCTGTGGTGGTGATAGGAACCAGACGTCTGGTTTAGTTTACTGCCTTTATAAGCTGCCTTACTGAACATGAAATGGTTATGAATTTGCTGGCTGATCCCGACACATGGTTTATGGCAGTTCTGAGCAGGTTTGGGCCTAAAATGTATTTTTGTTAAATGCATGCATGGCGGAGGGATACACAGACGGCACTGTAAGGCAAAATAGTCCCCGAAGAAAACTATTCGACTCGTGTAGGTTCACTGGTGGTCTTGGATAGTAAATAAAATGTCTATGTCTGTGTTGTAGTCATGGTGACCCCTGGTTCCTATCACCACCACTGTAAAGAAATCTGAGTCTCTACAATGATCCATTTCACACCAAACCACTCTGAATGGCCCTGTTTACATCTGAATGAGTGAATTATGCAGAAATGCTGGACATTCAGTGGAATTCCCCTTTAAAAGTATGACTAAGAGACTAAAGCGGGTCACTCTCCTACGTTCCTCAGTAAAGCACATGTGAAAGTGACCTTATCTGTTTCCTGATGAAAAGTTAATAAGATCGTAAATCAAGAAGATTCTAAAACATCCGACCCACTTAAGGTGTGTGTCTGTGTGTGTGTGTGTGTGTGTGTGTGTGTGTGTGTGTGTGTGTGTGCGCACTCAAAATGGAAAAAACACACACTGTTGATTGTAAAGCTATTCTAAATGAAGCAGCGCAGGCTGCCCTGTGTATAATCTCCAAAAGTAGTTCTGCGTGCGGGCAGACAAGTCACTGACCGTGACCACCCCGTTCCTCTTGCAAACTCTCACAGATCAGGTGGTCCTAATTAAAATGCCATCTCACAAAGAATCGGCTTTCTACATTTCCAGAAAAGATACTTTTTATCCAATTAAGGCGCATTTCACTGAGAAAAACTAGGCCACAGACAGAAACGTCTGAGCTCAGAATCTGGAACAGCAGCCAGAGGAGCCGACAGGACGAACACGTTTACGTGTACATTCTACAACACACGATTAATAGAGCACTGTACTGACTACAGACAGGAAGAAGAAGAAAGAGGAGGAGGAGGAGGAGGAGAAGGAGAAGAGGAATAAGAAGAAGAAGAAGAGGAAGAAGAGATTAAGGAGAAAAAGTAGAAGAAGAAGACGAAGAAGAAGGAGGAGGAGACTGAGAACAAGAAGCAGAGGAACATGAAGAAGAAGGAGAAAGAGAAAGAGATTAAGAAACAAAGAGAACAAAAAAAGAAAAAGAAACAAAAAGAGGAGGAGAAAAGGGATAAGATGATTAAGAATAAGACGAAGGAAGAAAGAAAAAGAAAGGAGAAACAGAAGAAGAACAAAAAGTGGGAGAAAGAGAAGATTTAGAAGAAACAAAAGGAGGAGGAGAAGAAAAGGAAGAAGAAGAAGATGATGAGGAGGAAGAGAATGAAGAGGAGAAAAAAAAGAAGAAGGAGGAGGAGGACAAAAAGAAGAAGAAGAAAAGAGGAGAAAAAGTAGAAGAGGCAGAAGAAGAAGAAGGAGGATAAGGAGAACAAGAAGCAGAGGAACATGAAGAAGAAGGAGAAAGAGAAGGAGATTAAGAAAGAGAACAAAAAAAGAAGAAGAAACAAAAGGAGGAGGAGAAAAGATGATTAAGAATAAGGAGGAAAGAAAAAGAAAGGAAGGGTGAGGAGGAGGAGGAGAAGCAGAAGAAGAACAAGAAGTGGGAGAAAGAGAAGATTAAGAAGAAACAAAAGGAGGAGAAGAAAAGGAAGAAGGAGAAAAAAGAAAAAATGTTAGTCTAAATTTAATGCAAATTTCATATACTGGTTCAAGATAACAACAACAACAATAACAATAACAATAACAATAATAATAATAACAAAACAGTGAATGAACTGTCATATAAACATATATAGATTCTGAATCTTTGTACTGTAGTTAACCTAAGATGACAACAACAACAACAACAACAACAACAATAATAATGATACTAGTCAATAAACTCTCACTGTACTTACACCAGACATCACAATATCACAGTATTAATACTATCAATACTATTACAGCGTTATTACAGTACTACAGTAATAACAACAATAATACAAGTCTGTGATGCTGTACTGACCCAAGACAAACAACAACAACAGACATTTTACAAAGTCAGCAACAGGACAGCACTGCAGAAGAAAAGACCCCACAGCTTCTTACAATAACCTATTATTCTCAATTTAGGTTATTTTGGCTCTGAACCCCCCTCAGGTCGTCCTGTCCCACGGTCAGCAGTGTAGCACCCTGCATTACCAGCAGTGAAGGACCATCCAACACAATGTCCAGCAGTTCCACACCATCTGCAGCAGTCTAGCCACACAGAACCAACAGAAACACGTGTGCTATTTACACTGTACACTCGTAGAGCATTACAGCGTCTCTCCCCGAAGAGCTCACAGATGCACTGCACTGATTGAGCTGCTCGGAAAGACAAACAAAGCGGAGAAAAAGGGGCACAAAATGGCTCGAAATGTTGTGTATGTGGTCATTTTCTGCACAGGAGAGCAGCATAATAGTGGACAGAAGCAACAGAGATGAATTCAGGTTCTTTTTCGACACCTTCTTTTTCGAATTTCGCCGTTCCACCTTAAATGGTGCAGCAGTTCCATTCTGGCGCCTGAGGCGCCAGAATGGAACTGCTGCACCATTTAAGGTGGAACGGGAAAATTCGAAAAAGCAGCTGAGCAGCTTCACGGCTGGAAACGATGGCAACGAAAAAAAAGACCTCTCAGCTTACCTTCCACATCCAGGCCATTCTTAACGGGGACGTTCCGGCCCACAATGTTCGTTTTTACCGACTAGAACCCGACCGGGTCTCTGCTGTGTCCGTTAGAGCCACGAAACGTCCGAAAAAACGAGGCATTTTCTCTTCCTTTCCGTCCAAACCTCCTCCCGTTATTCACCATTCTCTGTCCATTTTCTAAAAAAAAAAAGCCTCGGTTGACGGTTGACGTTTGCTCTCATTGGCTGGCGGTCACGGAGGCCCCGCCCCCCGCTCGCGTCATGTGATTCCTGACTCTTGTCGGCGTTGCTTGTTTATTTATTTACTTTCACGCCCGTTTTGAGGGGCCAGGCTTGTCTGAATACGAGTGGAGACAAACACAAATAAATGTTTTTGAGCTGTAAATTGTTTCTGTTTTCTGATTTAAGGCAGACAGCAGCTCGGGAAATGTTCTGACTATTAAAATTCAGACGTAGCTGGGAATAAGATCAACATTCCAGATCAATATTCCGTGTTTTTTTTTATACTGTATTATCCTATGTGTGGAGCGTGGCCTTGTGAGATGTAAAGCTGTACACGTAATTCACCGGACAAATTAAAAATGAGCAAAGGTTTTCACTGGTGTTAAAGGGACAGTCCAGCCAAATTGAAAATTGGAACCCTCACGTCTTACAGTGGTGCTGCAGTAGCGCCCAGAGTGAGATTTACCAGTTTAAAGGCTATTAAAAGCACCTTCTGGTGATGTATCTTGAGGGTAGGAGCTTTTGAAAGCCTAAAATGCATTGGAGTGGAGTTTTAAGGAGGATTTTTGGCTTCTACTCCCAGTTTGGCATCTTTTCTCTGGCTGAAAGGGTAAAAAAAACTTCAGGGAAATACAGGGAACAAACCTAATACAGATTTTTTTCTGCTTTTTTTGTGCAAATTTTCATTTATTTGCTGAGTTTGACATATTGGAAAAATTAAAACATACCTTTTTTCCCCAGTATGTTAATTTCAGCAAATAAACAGTAATTGTGTATTCGAATATGCACAAGTGTGTTCTCTGTAGAGGATGTGTTAACTTATTTTCAACGGTTTTATATAATGTAGTATAATATGTATATGCATATAATAGTATAATGTACATAACGTAATATAATATATACATATCAGCATGGAATGAGAATAAGATGCACTATAAAAGCGAATGCTCAGCCATGAAATGGCCGAGACAGCTGGCCGGTCACTTCTCGCAGTACATCTCTACTTGACGATAGGCACTAACACTGCACTACTACCTCACAGCCCAACACAGGACAAATAACACATGTACACATCTCACACTGAACCACAACAACTTATCTACTGTAAAAGTCTCTCCTACCGTGAACGTGGCACTTCCCAAGAGCCTCTTTGTGCGGCCACTTTGTGTGCTCATTGCTCTATTGTACTCTGCATTGCCCACGGAGGTGGGCCCACGGCAACGCAAGCCAGTAGTGGGACCTACAATACATATATAGTAGCAGGTATATGTTGTTAGGAGTGAGCTTTATAAGACATATCAATGCTATATTATGATTAATACCACCTTTACTACAGAAATAAAAACGTGTTTTCTATTACATATCAGCTTTCAAAAAACCCATCCCAAAGCCCTGATGTTTTGGAATGAAACTAATATACAGATACGAAGATACAAAGTTTAGTTCTAACAACGGTGAAATGCTAGTTTTGGTTATTAGCTATGCTAGTCTATGCTACTTTAGTCTATGCTACTATCAGTTAAGCTAGTCTGTGCTACTTTTTCTAGCGGGGATGTCAGGCTAATTGCCTGTTTAAGCTTCAAATAAAACGTGAAATGTCTTTAGTTACAAAGTTGATATATATACATATTTAAACATCAAACATCAAAAAGCAGAAATCTGCATTATTGTCAAGGCGTTTTTTTTTCTTGTTTTTGACCAAGTTTTGATGTGTATGAGCTGAACTGAAGACCTGAGACTGACAGTCATGGTTCTCCACTGCTAATTATACCCACCTCTCCTCTTTCTGCTGCTTTTTAGAGAGGGTAGCAGCATCATGATGCACTAACAAAAGCAGAATGCACTCCGGTGAGGCTCCAAGACTGACAGTGCAGAGACTTCAGAGCCCTGAAAGTGAAAGAAAGATTTTTTTTATACAGAAAAGCAAACAGAAGGATCAGAAATGTCAGATCAGCCTTTAGTCTCGTAGCGCAGAGCTTCAGTTCACCGACCTTGTGGCAGAAACACATCATAAAGTGAAGAGGAAACTCAACCCATGTGGAAATCTGATACATGGCAAGATAAGGATTTCAAATATATGACATATAACAGCATATAAAAGTGGGAGATTTCTCTCACATTAGCACAAACAGGCCAGAATTTGGTCTTAATAGAATCATCTTAGCCTAGAACCATACAGAAATCTGATATATGGCAATATTTGGGTTCAAATTATATGACATATATTAGCATGTATGGTTTTCCCTTATATCCAACTTATTAGTCACATATGGACTTATATGGGAAACATAAGCCAACTTATTTAAAACTGTCCATTTTTAAATATGGGTCAAATATTTCAGCCATACATCAGCATACACAATCATTGAATTCAGATGTTCCAATCACTTCTATGGCCACAGGTGTATAAAACCAAGCACCTAGGCCTGCAGACTGCTTCTACAAACATTAGTGAAAGAATGGGTCGCTCTCAGGAGCTCAGTGAGTTCCAGCGTGGTACTGTGATTGGATGCCACCTGTGCAACAAGTCCAGTCGTGAAATTTCCTCGCTACTAAATATTCCACAGTCAACTGTCAGTGGTATTATAACAAAGTGGAAGCGATTGGGAACGACAGCAACTCAGCCATGAAGTGGTCGGCCACGTAAAAATGACAGAGCAGGGTCAGCGGATGCTGAGGCGCATAGTGCGCAGAGGTCGCCAACTTTCTGCAGAGTCAATGGCTACAGACCTCCAAACTTCATGTGGCCTTCAGATTAGCTCAAGAACAGCGTAGAGAGCTTCATGGAATGGGTTTCCATGGCCGAGCAGCTGCATCCAAGCCTTACATCACCAAGCGCAGTGCAAAGCGTCAAATGCAGTGGTGTAAAGCGCCACTACTGGACTCTAGAGCAGTGGAGACGTGTTCTCTGGAGTGACCAATCACGCTTCTCCGTCTGGCAATCTGATGGACGAGTCTGGGTTTGGCGGTTGCCAGGAGACGGTACTTGTCTGACTGCATTGTGCCAAGTGTAAAGTTTGGTGGAGGGGGGATTATGGTGTGGGGTTGTTTTTCAGGAGTTGGGCTCGGCCCCTTAGTTCCAGTGAAAGGAACTCTTAATGCTTCAGCACCAAGAGATTTTGGACAATTTCATGCTCCCAACTTTGTGGGAACAGTTTGGGGAGTTTGGCCGCTTCCTGTTCCAACATGACTGCGCACCAGTGCACAAAGCAAGGTCCATAAAGACTCGGATGAGCGGAGTGGAAGAACTTGACTGGCCTGTACAGAGCCCTGACCTCAACCCGATAGAACACCTTTGGGATGAAATAGAGTGGAGACTGCGAGCCGGGCCTTCTCGCCCAACATCAGTGTCTGACCTCACAAATGCGCTTCTGCAAGAATGGTCAAAAATTCCCATAAACACATTCCTAATGTGGAGAGCCTTCCCAGAAGAGTTGAAGCTGTTATAGCTGCAAAGGGTGGGCTGACATCATATTAAACCCTATGGATTAAGAATGGGATGTCACTCAAGTTCATATGCGTGTGAAGGCAGGCGAGCGAATACTTTTAGCAATATAGTGTATGTGGGTCATTCTCCATTTGCAGTGGGAAACCATGTCACAAAGGTTGCAGGGCTTAAAAAGATGCTTAAATTATTAGGCACAGCTCCAAAAGTCAGTATTTACATTTACACAGCTGACCTAATATTCAATAACACACTTCCTTTACGATTTCTTTGATTTCTCAAAATCGCTCTGCATATGTAAAACAGCTCGCATAACCAATTTTCAACATTTGAGAAGCCATTTTTAATATGAAATAATATTTTTAAAATGTTTGCTTTTGGAAACTGCACAAAACAGATTAATGTTTACTTTTTATATCATTAACATTATACTACATTAAAAAAGGTGTATTTTTTTTTTAATTAATTTGTCACAGAGATTTTGGTCATTGGTGTCATCAGGACTCTTATGTTACATTTTAATATAGTATTTTCAGCTCTATTAAACTGCTTCCTTATAAAAGGACCAAGCCACTTGAAGCTGTGCGTTACTATGATTTTATCACAGAGAAGGGAGTTTTAGGCACTTCGTGTCATGCCTAACAACACCCTTCCCTGTGATAAAATCTCAGTAACGCACAGCCTCTTGTGGCTTATTGCTTAAATATATGCCTGATCTATTATAGCATATGCACGTTTATGGCCATATATCAGATTTCCGTACGAAACGTGCTGGGAAAATGACAGCTTTAACAACATTCTCTGCAGGACAGACCTCATGATTTAGTTTAGAGTGAAGTGGACCATAATTGCGAAGTCAACAGAACATAAGAGGTTAGCACTCAACATCTGACTCTGCTGTTAAGCTGTTAGCATAGAAATGAAACACATTCATTCTGAGTGGAGAGGGTTTGTTTAGAAGCCTGAAGCACTTTCTGTTCGCTTTTGCCAAGACGCATAGCGTTCTCCACCCAGGGTCACATGTACTTCAATTACAAGTCATCATGCTGAGTTTAGGTCATTAGAGTGGAATTCCAACAATTTTTCAAAATTGACATGTAAACAGAGTCATTCAGAGTGGGTTTGGTGTGAAATAGTTCATTGTAGAGACTCAGATGTCTTCACAGTGGTGGTGATGGGAACCAGCGGTCACCATGACAACAACACAGACATAGACGTTTTATTTACTCTCCAAAACCACCAGTGAACCTACACAAGTCTTCTGAGTTTTGTATGGAATGTTGAAGATGGTAAAATAGTCATAAATCTGAAATAATAAGTTTTCTTTGGGGACTATTTTGCCTTACAACGTCCTGCATGTATCCCTCCACCATGAGTGGATTTTAAAATATTTTTTAAGCCTTTTCTAAATTACTGTAAAACAGTGTCTCAGGACTCAGGCAGTGAATTCATAACCAGTTCATGTAGTAACTTTCTGTGAGGGAGCTTTTAGAGGTGGACGTCTGGTTCCTATCAC